TACACAGCAAGCCCAATAAGGTATGCTAGGGAGAAGGCACAACATAAGAAATATATCAAGGAAGGAATGGAAGTGTCTGTGAATTGATATTAGAGGTAGGGAGAGGGGGATGTTTGTGAGTTAATGGTATTAGAGGTGATAATTGGGGAAGCTATGTTGGTAATGGGTAAGATAGTTCGAGTGTTCTGAAAGGTGTTCTGAAATGTCCTTTTCATATGTGTTCATTTTTTTTAATTGTATCCTTTGGTATATATGGTTGTGACTATTTTCTTCCACTATTTGATCTGAGGAAGTGGGTCTGGCCCACGAAAGCTCATCATCTAATAAACCATCTCGTTAGTCTTTAAAGTGCTACATTGTCCTGCATTTTGCTTCATTAATGGTGTAGACTTTGAAGAAGTAGACAGATTCATCACAACCTGAGGCAACTTCTATGAAGATGATCATGCATCTGATGAAGTGGTTTTTTTACTCTCAAAAGCTTATGCCCAAATAAACCTTTGTCTTTAAGGTGCCACAGGATTTCTTGTTTTTCTGGATACAGACTAACATGACTACCCCTCTGATACTTATGAAGATACAGTAAAACTCCAGTTGTCCGGCATCTAGTGGTCTGGCACTCCCGATAGTACAGCACCAACTGGAACCTGGAAGTGCTCCGGCGAACCGGACAATTGAAGCTGCTCTGCGTCGTTGGGGAAGAGGTGCAGAGCGAGTTGGGGCTGCAAGTGGCAGTGACGGACTTGGGGAAGTGGCGGGGCAGAGCAGCTGGGATGCTGCCGGGTTAGTCCTGCAGCACCACCCCTCACCTGAGCAGTGCTGCGGGACCAACCCAGCAGCACCCCAGCTGCTCTGCTCAGCCACTTGCTCAAGTCCGTTGCTGCCACTTGCAGCCCCAGCTGGCCTATTGCTGGTGGCTGCGCAGGGCTTCCTCCACCTCCCTGCATAACGGCAGAGGGTTTGCCCCACGCTGCACCGTTCTCCGCCGACCCCACCTCCCAGACCCTTCACCGCCCCACTTCCGGAATACCTCCTGATACTCTGGCATATCCGATAATCCGACACCCCCTGGGTCCCAAAGGTGCCGGAGTATCAGAAGTTTACTGTAAAAGATATCAATAAGCATATGGCTTCTTCTAGCAGAATGTTTGCATGCCTGACTAAAAATGACTTTAATCAGTGTCCATAATAGTGGCCACTTTCATAATAGCTAAAGTCAGATTATATTCAGTTCTCATTGTACCCACCATTACCTTATGGGTATAAAACATGAAAACTGGCAATGCATCTGGAGCAGAAACTTCAAACGTGTGACAAAGGCTAGATAGGCTAAGAAATTATGACATATGTAGAAGACTGAAAGTGGTGTTTATGATGGCAATCATCACAAGGCTGGAGTATTTTACTGCAATGGAAGAACTGTTCTGGTGGCCCAAGATGAAGGGCGTACTAAACTTAGTCCCATTAGTAAGGATTTTAGAAATCTTAAGGGGTGGCTGCTTGTGATCCGCTCCCCAAGTTTCATAAGTCTTTTAGGAACAACTGCTAGTAAGATAGTCCCACTTTCATATTAGTAGGAAGATACTGAAGAGAGAGGGACAATTTTTATTATTTAGATTTTCCTTTCAGATTTAGAGGGATTTTGAGATTGGCCACCAGTCCAATTTGGTAACCGGAGCTGTAGGAATATTCAGAACAGCTATGATCATTGTTGTATTTTTGTGTGGTCAGACCCCAACTTCATATTTTAAGGTCATATGACTAGCGGCTATCATGATGTATTTGGGGCATCCACAAGTAAACTAATTTAGATATATTGCAGTTAAATTCATGAACACTCACACTGCATTTAACATGATATAGTCAGAGGTGTGGAAGAGTAGGCTATAGCTACAATGAAATCAGAAGTGTCAGTGCAGCATGTTTTGATATAGTCAACCTAGCTTTGATTTATCTGCCTCAGATAACAATAGAATTGAAGCTGCAGCAATATGGTCTAGCCACTCGAGTACATTCCTGGGTGGCCTTCTGCAGCCTGTTATGCTGCATACCCATAGTCTTGTTGCACTCTCTAGTTGTGCACTTAAAGAATATTATCAAGCTGTGCATACTGCAACACTCTATATAATAAAGCTAAATTTTTTCTTGTTTTAGTTACACTGAAAAACTTTTGCCATCACCAGAAATCGTTGATAACAGGTTAGCCCTTTATCATATGACCGGATGTAGCTTAGCTAATTGGTTTGATGATTGCTGTAACTTAAGCTTTGTATATCAGATGATCACAAACAAATGAACTGCACCTTATTTGTCTTCGAAGTGTTTACATTTCTTTTATGTCTGCTTGCATCTTGGACTGTACTTCTCTACTTTTCCAGCTCATCTCATCAGAACACAATTAGCTCCTTAGATTTTTTCCTAACAGCAAAAAGTCTTGTATTTGCGTCTTAGAAGGCTATGTTAGTGCCTTGAATAGAGAAAAGGGTCAGTTGTGTGCTAAAGGAAACTAAGATCAAAATGCTTTCTTTTCACAGTTCCATAAATAACATTTATCTAGATATATAAGCCATGAACTGTTGACTTAGGAAGTCCTAAAATGTATTTGATGTGATCCAGTGGTAAGCATTTGGTTATTCTCTCCTTCATACACCAGGCACAAATGAGAGCCATATGGCTTTACTTCAAATATACATTATCACAGTTCAGGACAATTTCATCTTTATTTCTGCTCTATGGTCCCCAAAAGCTACTCAGTCTGGGCTTTCATCTCCTTAGCCCGGTGTTTCTCAAACTGTGCTCCATGGAGCCCCAGGGCTCCGTGAGACATCTCCAGGGGCTCCGCGAGTTTGACAAACTGGAAACATCGATAGGTACAACACACAAATCAGTGGACCGCTGGGACGCCGCGTAAGTACAACACATACAAATAGTGGACGGCTGGGGCTCTGCATAAATTTTTACACATGTAAAAGGCTCCGGAGCCCAAAAAGTTTGAGAACCGCTGCTTTAGCCATCCCCTCTCTTGGGCAGAGAACCAAGTTTTCCACCCTCTTGTGATCAAGGTTTTTCCATTCTGGACAGCTCCCTGCCTACTGGCTAGTTTCTCAACTTGTGGCCTAATCAGCACACAGCTGCAGCCTATGTGATGTCGTCAGGGCCAAACAGGTAGTATTTGATGTAGCCAATTGCCTGTTGATATAAGCTCCCACATAGCTCTTTCTAAACATTTATTCTTAAGGTGAAAGCATTACTGAGAAAACATTAAAACAAAACAAAACAAAAAAAACTTGCATGCATGCTAAAGGTTTACCAGAGGAGACACCAGTGTTAGACTCAGGCTCTGGGAGATGTCTGTGCTTCAGAACCCACAGCTGGGTTTTCCTGTGGTTACAGGTTCATAACCATTTCACATTCAGAACAAGAACAATCATGAAAAGGTTAGTCTTTCCTTTATAGAGCTTTGGCCTTTGATCATGGTCCCATGTAAGAGTCAAATAGCATACAATGGTTCACCCCTCAGGAGCATAGCTTCAAAAGATTGGTTTTCTGCATAACTGTTGGGGCGGGGGAGGGGAGATTTGCATTCACTTATCCCTAGATATTCACCAGGAAAACCACTTACTTTGTTTTCTTCCAAGAGTCCATTGTTATCTGACACTTTATTTAATATAGTCCTCAGAGCCCTCAGGTCACACATCTATCACATCTTTTCCTTTGAGAGGCTATCTACAATCCCAGCCCACAATATTACATAAACCATACATTTAATATAATGGACCCCAAATATACTTACATTTAATTCAGTAAGGTTCTCCAGGTATAGGAGTAAATTGCCATATTTGTCACATACACATCTCTTTTTCTTCATTGCATTTGCATTTTTCCTCTCCACTCATATTTTCAACGTTCTAGAAAATAAAACCTACTTTTAAGGAAATATTTTCATATTCGCTCTATTAACCTTAAAGTAATCTGGATTCTGTCATTTTCAATAAGCTTCTTGAACAGAAGGATGCAAGTATCAGTCTAAAATTAATGTAAGGTTTATTCCAGTGTCATCTTTTAATTATTTAACTTACTGATGTTTGAGTAGTACATTACTTTTAAATCAATCATCATAGGCAGCAGCTGCAAACTCAGGCAAAGCTGGTCTTGGAAGAAAATGGAGTGTTGATGGAACAACTTGAGATTCAGCAGGCAAAAGCAAAGGAGAGTTACAACCAACATCTTCAGGAAGGTAATACTCTTCAACTGCTACTTACTTGGATTGTACTATTGACATATGGGGGAGAGGCTGGCATCGGCCTACCCAAAACAAAAGGCCATCCCCCTCAATTAATGGCTAACAACCTCTAGATTCAGGCATCAGATGAATATGGAGAACAGCAAATGAACAAACAGGAGAAAAGTGAGGCCAGATGTAAAGTATCAGAGATCCAGAGGAGGGGACAGAGCAGAGAACCTGCACATCACCAGTCAGCATCCAGCTGTGGCCCATGTGACATCCTCAGGGGCAAACAGGTAGTATTGGATGTGACCTAGATGATACATAAGGCATCCTCAAAGGCATCTAGAGAGTGGACACTGCCCAGAGAAACAGTGCCTGGAGGCATGAACAAAGAAAATAATGGAAATGGATCCCAATAGTTTCTAGAACACACCCTTGTCCAGTACCTTTCTCCTGGTTTGATGGATGATTGTTTTGACTTGCACTGAGAGGAAGAGGTTTGGAATTTTGTGAGGCCATGATTGGGGTATGAGCAGAGAATTTGGACTGTAGTAGAAATAGTACTGCAGCATTATTTTAATTAATACATGCCTTAAAGCACTATTAAGTCAAAATAATATAATTACAATCATGATCCAAATTATTTCCTCTGAAGACATTATGTAATAAATACCATCTTGAACTAAAATGTGTCAGTCAGAAGTCACTTTCTCTAGTGGAAATAGTGACCAGAAGTGTTCAACAGTATGATTTTATATAAATATTGCATAAGATAAATTATTTGGAGTGTGTGCGATTTTATTTTCTGTTTTGTAAGCAATGTTCATTGTTTTAAAATAGTTAATTCTCTCAAAACTAAAGTTAGTGATTCTATTAATTTTCATAACCTACCCTGCTTAAAATTTTAAGACAGATTACATTGAGGAATCAAGCTAATCATATACACAGTTTTATTCAGATTTTTATTCCTTGATTGGTAATTGATTTCAGAACATTAATTACATGCAAGGAAAAGATTCTAGATAAAGGGGGGGAAGATTCTAGATAAAGAATCATTCTACTACTTGTGCTGTATTTTTATACCAACAAAATCCTGTTTAGAAAATTTTAATAGGCATTAAAGGGAAAAAAAAACCCTTTAAAATACATTGTACAGTAAAACTCCATTGGTCTGGCATCCAGTGCTCTGGCACTCCTGATGGTCCGGCACCATCAGGAACCCAGAAGTGCTGGGGCAGCCGGACAATTGGAGCTGCTCTGCTTGGAGCTGCTCCCGGCTTCCCTGATTCAGCCGCTTCTGAAACTCAACAGCAACTGAATAGGGGAAGCCGGGAGCAGAGAAGCTGGGACGCTGCCGGGTTGGTCCCGTAGCGCTGCCCTTCGGGCTGCGGGACCAACCCGGCAGCACCCCAGCTGCTCTGTCCCAGGCGTCCCCAAGAGCAGCTGGGGTGCTGCTGGGTTGGTCTCTGAGCCCCGAGGGGCAGTGCTACCAGATCAACCCGGCAGCACCTCAGCTGCTCTGCCGAAGGTGTCCCCGATTCAGCCAGAAACTGACCAGCAGCGGCTGAATCGAGGACACCTGGGGCAGAGCCGGACTATCGGAAGGGGGGGGGGCTATGAGGGATCTGGGGTGGCATCCCCCTAACCCCCCCCAGACCTTTCATAGCCCTCCCTTCTGATAGTCCGGCATATGTGATAATCCGGCACCCCCTGGGTCCTAAAGATGCCGGATTATCAGAAGTTTATTGTAGCATTAAACCTGACTATAGAAAGCCACGCTTCTACATAAAATAATTTTGAAAGTGGAAATTCAGTTTAATGTATCCTAAAAAACTTTAACCATGTCTCACTGTTCGTACCTTTTCCATTACAGATATGTTTGGAAAATGTGACAAGTATCCTAGTATAGTAGCTATTTGTCATGTATAACAATACATACATTGGATATGTCACCAAGAATCTTTGAATCTAGGAAGGAATCTTGTAGGTGAGCACAGGTGACCATGTAATTTACCTGAGGGCATTATATTCATTTTTTGACTATGCACGGACATCTGCTGTATATCTGCAAGTATCCACATCCACGAATGTGGATGCAGATATCTGTGGTATCTAGAATCCTGCAAATTTGTGGATATCCACTTATATCTTCATCTGTGGATGTGGATGCTGATAGCCACAGCTCATTTTTGCAGATACACCTGTGTACATGGATACAAATTTTGTATCCACACTGGGTTCTATATGTAGGACTTCCTCCCTTGTTTTCTCAGAGACCTATGAAAGTGAATTTGTAAAGTCCCTTAGTTGAATTGGCTTTCAGAAATCCACAGACCTGGAAAGCTTTGTGTGTATTAGGAACATAGAAGAGATCTAAAATTATGGGCTGCAGTACAAACTGTATCAAATCTACACCTGGCATATGAAACTATGACGTTTGCATCAGGGCCCATGCACAGTTGGACTCCTCGATAAACTCTTGACAGACATGAGTCAAGCTTAAAAATGCAATACTTAATTTGCCAAGTCAAGTAACAGTTAAAAAATGCTTAATGCAACTATGAAATAATGTCTTATTGTTTTAACTGAAATTTTGATTTGATTAGTGACAGAGTTTTGTGTTAACAATTTTTTTCCTCCTTGAAGTTTCAAAATTGACCAAACAGCTGATGATTTTGGAAGCTAAGATACAGAGCCAGGAAGAGGAAATATCAGAAAATCAGAAGCAACTGAAATCTTTATGTTCCACATGTGAAGAGCTGAAAGCCAATCTGAATGGCAGAATAACAGCAGAGGAGCATGCTACTTTGGTAAATGCATTAAGAAGGTATGGGTCTACCTAATGTACAAAGGCAACTTCTTGGCAGTCCTGCAGTGTTCACATGAGCAGACTCTTATACCCAGAGTTCCCTTTTGCTGCACCAGGACCCCATGGTTTTTTCCACGAAAATCCAAAAGTTATTGTAGCTGGCAGAGTACAAAAAGGTGGAACAATACTATTTTAGAAAACTGCTAGCTTTGTTTTTTTAGGCTGATAATAATAACATGGGGGGAAATCATGGTTTATCAGAGACAGAAGAGGGGGACAGGCAGGAGCCTGCTCCTTCGCCCCAAGCACTGGCTTGTATTTGCTCCCCCATCCCCCGAGCCCCGCGTAAATGTGTAACTAATACAATTTTCAGAAGTTACACATGTACACAAATAAATGATAGCATCCCTAGTCTCAGGTGAAAAGTAAAAGGCTTTTACTGTTTTCCTCTGGTGAAAAAACATTTCTTCTCTTTCCATCCACTAAGATTTAGTTTTTAATAATAAAAGTGAAATATCAGAAATTTGAACCACGTGACTTGAAGGGATTTAAAGTGAATTATAGCTAACAAACTATCAGTATGTGTTAAATTTATATATCTGTTTCTTATAAAAGTTCATGCTAAGCTATTTCAATTAACCAAGAACTATTTTACTACCTACTGCCTCCACTATGAAAGTATGTACTTTGCTTGAAAGCTTATGGTATTTTATGGCATGATTTGAGTTTTAAAGCACAGAATATATATATAGAGTGTGTTAACTTTCTAACTCAGTTTATCTAGAACTTAATTTATGTTTTATGATATACAGTTGAGTTATTCTTTGCTCAAGACTAGGCATGCTGGAAATATATTAATCTCTTGCCATAGCACCTTTTTACCTTTGTGAGTAATCCATAAACACCTTTTCTTCACTGCTGGTCATGCAGTTTTAGTAGTAATTATTAGAGTTCCTAGAAAAGATGCTAAGATATCCCCTGGATACATTTTGACCACATAGCAAACATATAAATCCTATTTAGCATTGCCAGTACACTCTCTTTTTATTTAATAACTAGGAGACTTACCTGACGTTGCCCGGGTCTGTCAGGGCAAGACCTTGGGGATGGGGGAGTATGTGTGCAAGAGGCTGGGAGAGAGGGAAAGGGCGAATGAGGATTGGAGTGAGAGGAAGCAAGGGTTTCCCCCATCTGCCAGGAGCATGCTCTCTCCCTCCCCTCCTCTACCTCTCCCCCAGGCCTCCCACTGCCTGCCAGGGGCGCATTATCACCCCTCCCAACTGCAAGGGATGTGTTGTCCATATCCAGCCACAAGGGGTGTGGTGTTGGCCCCTCTAGCCACCGGGAGCCTATTCTCTGACCACAACCCCTCCTAGCCTGCCAGGGATATGTTCTCTCTCCCTCCCATACCCCTTTCAGGCACCAGGAGCATGTTTTCTACCCCCTCCTCCTCCTCCCGCATGGTATTGCTACCGCCAGTGGACACACTGCAGGATAGCTTCTCCCTGTTGTGCTCCCTGCTCCCTGTGGACACTCTCATATCACATCCCCTTTCTTTACATGTTATGGAAAACCGTTCTTTCCCCAGGGCTTCTGGTTGTCCTGACAGAACCAAACGCTGACCTTCTTAAAGTTAGGTGAAGAGGAAGCTGCATACCAAATTTGGTGATCCTAGCTCTTACCGTTTAAGAGTTCTTGAACAAACAGCCATGCAGACTGACTAAAATATATATATAGATTTTCTCTGTGAAGTAGATCTTTGATATCTTTTTATATTGCCTTTTTTTCAGTCAGTTACAACAGGAACAGGAAAAGCAAAGTGCAGAGCTGGAGGATCTAATGGAAAAGCTAGCATCGTTGCAAGCACAAAAAAAGAGCCTGCTCTTAGAGAAAAATGACCTAGTTGCTGACAACAAGATCTTGGAAGCTGAGCTGAATATGGCACAAAAGACAAATAGGTTATTTATTTCCTTTTTTTGCTTCATTTGGATATCTCCTTTCACTAATACTAATATTTTTGAAAACTATAATATCTCACTGAAAAAAATTCTTTGCCCATAACCCCTACAGCACATCCCCAGATACATGCATTCTTACTGCTATCAATTAAATATATTCTCTAAAATGGTGTGCCTAAATTTGATTTAACTTCTGTAATAACACAGACTTGACTTTTAAACATATTAGCCAAATAATTTTAATATTATTTTCATGTACAATTACCAAATTACCATGACTGCATTAAGTAAATGCATGTGAAAATTATAATTAGCCAATTACTTGATTTAGGTGAGCAATTATAGTAATTGTAGGCATATTGTGAAGCTAGAAATTAGTCCCTATGTTCAAGTATTTTACAAGTAAAAAAGGAATACTGTCATATAATTTAATTACATACTACAGTACAGCATGTAGTAAGCAGAACCATGGAAAAAATAAATTATGTGTGTATTGTCAAAATACAATGGCTGACTTTGTGTAATGGACTGGACAGAGAATCTAGGAAAATAATCTCTCTGAGAAGAGAACAAAGGAATTTAGGAAAAATATGAAAGACAAAGAATGGGTCAGAATTGCTGGGTCATACATAATCCGTGACGCTTTTTGTGCAAACACAACAGGACATGCAAAAGTATAATCTGAATAATGTTATTTTGAAAATTTGACATTTTTGGAACCATCAGAGCTAGAAAAAGTGCAGTAATTAATGGAACATTGGAATGTTCTGTATTGCATGGTGTACATAATGAATTTCTAGCTATTATGCATTGCAAGGTATTTCTTAGAATGATTGTTTATTATGATCACCTGCTTCATCAGATCTGGAAAGAAAACAATTTAGTTGCAGGCCTTTATGCTTTTATAGTATGCTTGGTATCCTGAGCCAGTTCATACCAGAGAAACATTTAATTATTTGTAGGTGCTTGATTAAAAATAGGTAAATTGTCAGATTGCATATGATGAGTTAATGAATAATAAATTATTGTAAATTATTTGCTATGAAAGAGTTTATTGTTCCATACTGGACACATTTATTTTATTCGATACCCATGGGATACCTATTTCAGTGAACAGGAATGTTTTAAAATACAGGCAGTCCCCGACTTACGTGGATCCGACTTACGTCGGATCCCTAGATACGAACGGGGTGAAGCAACTCCCGCACATGCGCAGCAGCATTCCCGGGGCTCGCTCACCTGGGTCCTAGGATCCTCCTCCTCCTCGGGCCGGCTCCGACTGGGGTCCCGCAGAGCTGCCGGGCAGAGGAAAAGTGCCTCCTCACGCCCGCTGCCCCCCCCACCCCTCCTGCCAG